TCTTGACCATCGGGATGAATTGTGGTGTTTGTGGCTTAGTCTGATGAGAAGTTAAGAGTCCATGCAATTAAGACGTTAAGTTTGATTAGCAAAGCTTTCTACATCACTAAAACTGATCGTTCAAGCTGGATGTGTATTTTTGACGAAGCAGAATTTGTCATATTTCTAGAAGGTCTATAATACATCCACAAAATGAACCAAAATCCGTTTTTTTCTCTTCTTTTTTTTGTGACAAAGACGCCTTTCAGTGATTACATCATAGGAAACTGAAAGTTAAAGGATTCACTGAAAACTCATAACAGCCATGATATTCATGGTCTTCACAAGTGCGTGTAATCTTTTTGTTCCTAACTGTACACTGTGTTCCATGTGGGCAGCGATTTAGAGGTCTGGCTAGTGCAACCTGAACAAACTACAAGTATGCAAAGTAATACCAGTTAAGATTTTTATGTTGAGGGTCATTTATAGGCCAAGAAAGAACTGTCTGCTGCTACAGTTTGCATAAATTGCTGATAAGATTGGTTCAGAATTACAGGCAGTGCACTACGGCTCTGCAGCTCAATGACAATGGCCCGGTCTGGTTGCAGGTATGAATACTAGTACGTTTTTTGGATTTTATTATTTTGGAATTGGGCTGCACGGTAGGAAAGTGGATGACGCCTTACAGCTAGAAGGTCCTGGATTCAAATCTCGGCCTGGGGTCTTTCTGTGTGGCGTCTGTATGTTCTCCTCGTGCAGTGTGGGTTCTCACCAGGTGCTCCAGCTTCCTCCCGCAGCCCAAAGACATGCTGAGGTTAACTGGTGATTCTAAATTGTCCGTATGAATGTGAGTGTCAGCTCCAACCCCACCTTACAACCACACAGAGGACAGGGTGGTGCATAGAAAATGGATGGATGGACCCTTTGAAATTACGGTACATTTACCTTTTTACAGGCAGTAATTGAAAAGGATATCAAACAGCACAAGAGAAGCCAGGACTGCTTTAATTGAGTGTATGATATTTTCAGCTTTGGAATCAGTTATTCCTTGGCCTCAAGATAGTTTGCTCTGTATTAGCAAACAGTCAGTTCTATCTCTCACAGTCTGGAACGAGAGTGAATTTTCACCCTCTAATTTGTGATGTCACTCCCCTGGACAGCTCTGCAGAGGAAAAAATTGCAAAACATGAGCGAAATAGCAGCTGTGACTGCACCGCAGATGATTTGCTGCTCTGGAATTGATAGTGCAGCTAAGTCTAAAGCTTGGTTTGATATAAAAAAAAGTTCAGAAAGAGTTTGCAAAGTCAGTCTCGACGGAGAAGCTCCAGGCTGTACATTGATACAACATAACAGATGTCTTGGTTCTCTCATTTCCAGCTTTGAGGGGAAGCACTGTTCATTTTCCCAAACACTGATTGGACTATCCTAAACTAGAATGTATTCATTCATTCTCTTTGTAACTGCTTTCTTTATTCCTCTATAAGCCGATTTCTAATTAGTGTCTCGCATTTTTATTGTTCATCTTATTAGGTTTTCATCATTATTGTTTCACTTGCTGTAAAGAATTTGGTAACTCTGTTCAAAAGTACTTTGCAAATAGAGCTTATTGTGCAACTAAAGTTATTTTCAGGAAGCTATTACACTGAGTGGTGTAGCCCCGATGAGTAAGTGAGAGATGAGCTAAATACTACACATGGAGTAAACACTGTTATTCAGACTATGGAAAGACACCAGACTTAAACGTAACAATTCCACAACCGATTTTGAACCTCAGAAGCTACAATCACAGACTCCATGATGCACAAAAGAGAAAAAACAAAGAGAAGGCAGCGACAGAAAGGATAAGGAGAGGTGAACATATAACAATTTTTCCTTTTGTTGCTAAAGAAAGAGTCGAATCAATGGCGAGAAAATGCTGATAATAACAAATAACGCTAATAACAGTGCGCGGGTGACAGTGGCTCAATGTCTATAGATTCTCATAAATACCTATGAGACTCACTTTGTATTGACTTGACTATGAAACCTCCCTTGCTCTTCATCTCTATTTTATTCCGTCCCTCTCCTCCATCCTTTGTGTTGGATTTTGGCTCGCAGACAGAAAAGCAGACACTTCCTGATGTAACGCCCGGGCCTCTTGTAGCACAATTAACAATATAACACAGACAGAGCGGCCTTGGCATTGGCTTTTTTGGATGCATGTGTATGCATGAGTAACAGTGGGGAGGAAGAATAAAGTAATATAAATACATAATGCAGCAGGTGGCTTAAAATATTACATAGATAGGAACAGAAATCCACAGGAGACTGAGAGAGCGGCCCGGAGCAATGTGGTTAGCCCACTCTTCCTGAAAGTACACCACACTAATCTCCCCACCCCACTCCCCAAATTTCCCCTCCACCGGATGGCAGCGAGAGCATTGTTAGAGAGCTATTCCCCACAGATAGGTAAATCTTTTTTTTTTTCCTCACTGCACTAAATGGCAACTAAATGTCAGACTTCTGTTCAAGTCCAAGTTCACCTTTATTGTCCTATCTCATTTGCATGCTGGGCAGAGTTGGCAATAGGAGGAGAAATAGAGATATGGACCACTGAGGAGAAAGGGTCCATTTGGTTAGTTCCACTGCTCTATTATAGCTATCTGTCCCTACAATCTCATAAAACACACCCCTGACTGGTTGCTCGCTTGCAAAACAGGCAGCCTAATTCGCTGCACTTTTTTTTTTTTCTGCAGCAGCTCCATTTGTGGGCAGCTAGTGTGGAATAGAACGGCAGAGAGAGGCCTTGGTTTGTTATCCCGTGGTCTGGGCGGCAGATGGGCAATAGGAAAGTGATGGAGCAAAGGTAAAAAGGGATCAAGTGAGATGTCATTTACACACTCAGAAAACGTCCCCGGTGAGAGTTTTCGATGCTTACAAGAGCCAAATTAATTCTGGGTAGCCATCGAGACTTCATACCTTGCCTAAACTTTGGATTATTTCCAATTGTAGTGTCTTTTTTCACAGCCTGATGCTCTCTATTCTTATTCTCTCTGCTGCTGTGTCTTTCTTAACCCTTTTTTCTTATTTTCTTTATCTTTAATTGTGTCTTTCATTCTAGTCTTTTACCAATTTGTCTTGATTAGGCTTCATCCTGCTTTCCGAGGTGCGCGAGTCCACGTCTCGCGGGAGAGCAGACGAGACGATTCCGTCCGTCTGACCTTAGCCGTAGCGCTGATCTGAGCAGAAAATGTGGTTTCGCAAACAAGCAACCTCATCTGCCCTAATAATTTTGCTCATCGATCGAGGTAGCTAACAAGTGAAGGAAAAGTGTGTACAACAAACGGATCTGAGCTCTGTACCTGTAAATATTACAATTATGTGTGCAACGTTTATGCATTCATGTATTTTATTTAAATCCTGGAACTCTATTCATAAAATCTTTAGTGACTGCTATAATGTCAAAGACTGTTCCCATGAGAAGCGTGGGAGTCTCAATCGCTGAACCAGTGTAATTACTAAGTGCTAGCTACTGATTAGAAAGTTGAAAAATGTGTTCAGTGCAAAATTCGTATTTATAAATAGCGTACTATAAGACTGTGAGAATAAATGAAATATGACTTTGACTCCTAATTTTTACATTTTTTTTTGGAGTTAAAAACAAAGGGACGAGCAGTTTTTAATGAATTTGAACATATTTTACCTTCCTATAACCCCGTGATGTGCGATTATTGCTGCAAACGAACTTGCTCCTGATCATATAGAGATTTAACTGCAAGGTCTGCTACAGAGCTAACAGCCATTCATTAACATTAGTCCTTTTGCTAAACACATTCGAGAACATCGCCCTACTTAGTGCACCACACTTCTATCGATTGGAATTATTTGCCATTTTATACACTAGAAAGACAGTTTAAGGCTGTGTGAATCGAGCACTGGCATGAAAATCTTTATCTGTCGGGAGCTTAAAATCCATGACTCCAATACAAACACTGTATTATCATAATATTCGGCTAAAATTGTGGTCGTCTGGTACTGAGTTCAACTCAATTAATATGGATTCAAGGATGATTGACAGTTCAAAACTATGGCCTGAGCAACAGTAGCAGATTGAGATTAAAATAATAATGTGTACAATACTTTGGAGCTCAGCGACATTCAGCTACAGCAGCTTGAGTGAAGTTAGTTCAGCAAACAGACTTTTTTCCCCCCCTCTCTCTCTCTCGCTGTTTCTCTCTAAACTAAGCAGTGAAGTTTTCTTCTTTTTGGCGTAGTCAAGCACAAGAGAGACAACGTTCTGTGTGTTCAGGAGAGAGAAAAAATTCGATCTCGGTATGTCCAGCAAAAGACACTGTTGAGCAGTTTGCACAGCAGCCAGCTCCTTAGATGAGCAAGTGCTTTTTCAGCGAGGTTTGCTGTTTCTGTTTGGCTGCTCAGCCCACCGGTTACAGATAATTTCAACACTGGATCACTGCAGACTTTGTTTTGAATATGATTTTTTAAAAAAAATAACAATGCTGTGCAGAACCCAGCAAAACAATATGCTTCAAACCCTGTGCATAGATCTGTGCTGCTCCTTTGCTAATAAGAAGTTACAGTGTATGTATAGTGGATGGCTTATTCCCTAATTGGATTTTGTTAGAGATTTTTATCTGTGTGTGTACTGTATTTGCATCTGTCGAGCATTAGAGATTAACCTTTATTGATCAGGTACTTACTTGTTTTCATATAAAGGAGAAGGGAGTCCTGGTTTTCTATACTTCAAGTGCTGTTTTTCTGTTTTTAACCCAAGCCGAGGTACTCGTTAGGTTGCTAGGCTGGCAGTGTCTCATAAGCTTGAACCAGCACATACCCAAATTCATTTTTTCCTCAACGCTTAAAGCCAGAGTTTGACACCGTAGCCTTAAGCCCAAGCTAATGTCACATCACATAAATTATGCAGAGCATAAATGTCGATTGCTAAACCACAAAACATAATGCTTTTTTTGCTTCAATTAAGCTGCCACACACAAATTTCAAAGGCAATTTTTAATATCCTTGATCACTGTTCTTTTGCTCAGAGGTTTCCTAGCAGCACTTACACAAAATCTGGCTAAGGTGGCAACTTTTGCCCTTAATTAGTATGAGAAAAAAAAAAAAAACATCTAGTGTTTGCCTACCCCGAGGCCATCAATGAAATCTGCCTTCATTATATTATTGGTTACAATAATAATTTGCCATAAAGCTGCCGTTAAAAAAAACATGTGATTGCCAAGGCCACACTCTAATGAGGACTTTAATAAGCTCTGATCTCGTCACCAGGGTTAACAGTGGATTATGCAGAGAGCTTCAAACTATGCTGTTCAAACAGCTGAAGCAGTCACACTGTTAGGGCAAATCCATCTAACTTGGCAGTTATCTGACTTTTTAATGTGAAATCGCTTTAAAGGCAAAGTGAAGACATTTGCAACAAGAAAAATGTAAAATGCGAGTGTTGGTGAGTCAGTGCTAATGCGTCTGAAAGGCTGGCTTCAAATGCCATCGAGGGCAACGCGTAGACATGGATGGATTGGGTTTGCCCGTACAGATAAATGTGCATGCAGTTACACACCTCTCGTGCCGTTGAAGAAAAGAGTCTGCCGACGGGGATTCTGGATGACTACAATTGATCCATCATAGTTTTGCAGGCGGCAAGAGATCTGGGCCGTACCTCCCTCCAAGACTGTCACATTCTCCGCTTGCACCGCCTGACAATGGGCTGAGGGAGAGAGAGAGAGATGGACGTTAATATAGTGATACAGAGGTGGGACGACGGGGAGGAAAAACGAGGGAGAGAGGTGGATAAGGAACTGATGCAGAGTCAAAAAAAAATAAAATAAAAAAGTTCCATTCACCACTCTCTTGAGATAAAATCTTTCAAAATAAGGTACTTAAAACATCCTTCATTTACTTGCCATTCATCATGCGGACACAACAAAGGAAGAAACGGAGAGGGGGAGGGAAAGAGAGGAGGAGACGGAGTGATGGAGATAAAGAGATGGAGAGCGAGAGGAAAGACGCTTGAAGAACTCAACAAGTAAAAGAGGGTCCTTATGAGCAATGTGTTCTTACGATTATAATAGGGATGATTATAATTACTGCCATTCATCTCTTTACATGCGCAAACACACACAAACAGCCGTATCGCCTCGGGCTGGTCTCGCAGAATGCATCAACACACACATTTGAATACATAATGCCTTATTAAATCTCTAAGTGGCTGTTGGTCTGCTGGAATTTAGACACGCACGAGCACACACACACACATTTGAGTGGACAAACTGGGAGCAACGCAGACATACAAAGACACCCGATAATCTACACGCTGCCTACGTGTGCATTATTAGCTTAAACTGCAGTCTTGCTTTATGAGAGACGGGCCAAAGTGCAGCGCTATGAGAGACCAGTGGCAGCCTTGAATACGCTTTACATGTTCTCAATGCCATTTCCCATCCAGGTGGAAGCTAAACCAGTTGATTACACTCCATTATCCAAATGTAATGGTTCTTATTACATGCATTCAGAAACTGGGCTCGAGCACCGGCTTTGGCTCCCGTGAATGAGCACCACAAACACACCTTTATGAGATGCTCCACAAAGTAGGCACGAACAAATGAGGACAGACAGTCAAACTCACAGAAACTTTCTCGCATGAACTTTCAAACAAACATGTCTGGCCCTTAAACCCAATAGTTTTAGACAAGGGGGCTGAGAAACCAGGGTGCCTCTTTGATGTTGCTGACAGCCCAAGAGTCAATAATAAGGAGGTTGATTATGCTCTGATTGTTGCACCCTGCATGTTTGTGGGTCAGGCTGTTGACATGACTCGGCTGAGTCACACCTCCCGCTGAGCACAATGGACACAGAGCGCCGTCGTCTGAATTCAAATGATTTGCGGAGCAATTAGTCATTTGGTTCCAGCCAGGAGTGGAATGTGATTGCCTTGGAGAGAGTACCAGCTTTCTGGGCTTCCCAAACTAGTATTTACCAATTTGCATTCCCATTTGCATTCCCTCTCTCCCTGGCAAAGTGTTGGCCGTGGGGAGGATTTAGAGAAAGAACGACATCAATATTGAAGCACAGTGATGAAGCAGGCAATGAGAAGAGCCGATAAAGATGGCGGGACTATATATATTTCACTGCTGAGTCTAGCGGTGTCTCTCAGCTCTGTAAAACACCTTCAGAAGGCAGGAAATGTTGTGAGACAAACAGATGGTAGCTGCCGTAGCAGAAGTTGCTGACTTGACTGCTTTGGGCCAAAATAAATGTCTATATCTGCAACTGAGTGCATCCTAAGTTTCCGTGCGTACACGGGCGTGCATGTGCACACAAGTACAATAGGTGGGCATGTGCATTCAGAGTGCATATGCAGGGGTTGGCATATTGCAATTAAGCTACTTTGACACCATCTGATCCTTCCAACTTCATCCAAATCTAATTCTCTTCTTGATTTTAATCTCTTTTAATGAAATACTGAAAGCCTACATATTCATCACATCAGGGGAAACACAGAGACACAGTGGATATTGAATTGAAGACAGAAAGAAACCAAGAGGGAATAAAGACAAAGGAGACTCTAATACTCTATGGAACCGAGAAAAAATCTTGACAATTACCACTAATTGTAGTCATTATTGCTCCCATTCTCTGCATCAATATTGTGATTCATATCGGGGGCCATCAGGGCCTGCCACCGCCATCCCAATTATTTTTCTAATGGCTGTTATTACTCATCACCATAGCAACTGGGATAGGCCACCATTGTTTTAAACAGTGGTAATTGTAATAGTGCTACTGTGCATCCTGACAAAGTCACTGCAGTGTCTCCGTGTGATTAGTGACCCATCAGAACGAAGAGGCCTTCAAGTGGGAGAGCAACTCCAGACAAAGAAAGCGGTCAAAAGTTGGCTTCTGGGAGGAGGCCAGAAAAACTAATTAGTTGTCCATTTGTACGCCCACTTCTCCTGACAGCTGTCACCCCTTCAAAGGAAATTAGCTGCAGTGGCATGGCAGTAAAGCACAAACAAAAGCGACAAAGATAAATAAAAATTAAATATCATTAACGGCTGCTGCAAGCGGGATGACTGGCGTTTGCCGTTGCTTGCTGAAGGATGCCGCCCAGAAACACCTGCTGGCTGCTGGTGGATGATCAATTTGGGTGAAGAGAACAGAGGAATGAAGAGACGGCGGGGGAGTAAGGGCTCTAACCAGGAAAGCATAGCGGGGAGTTAGGAAGTGATGGTTTGGGTATAATAATGCAGCTGGTGGGGGCCGGACGAAATATACGAGAGATGGCGCATATTCTCCCACTCCTGCTCGTAACGCAGCTGGGTATAGCACTTTAGTTTGACTGTAGATTTTATAGGCTGCCATTCACATCAAGGCCATGAGCCTGTGCCTCTGATCACCAGCATAGCACAATCCACAGAGGGAATGAGAAGGAGGGCAAGCGAATCAACCTCTGTGACAGAGGTATTAATCTCGGCCCCATTAAAATGTGTGCCTATAATAAAATACCCCACAAGCGTTGACTCATATTAAGAGAGAATGCAGACAGAAATGAATATCATGGTAGTGCACTGACGTCTATGATCAACGGTTAAATAAAACAAGTGCAGGAGCGACAAAAAACAATCACTTCTCTCTCCAACCAAGCGGGGGCAGTATTTCATAGCAGTGAATTGGTGCTTCTTATCATTTGAAATGCCTCTACCCCTGCTGTCACAGCCCTGGAAGAAAAAAAAAAAAGGAGCCTTTATTTACTACATCAATAGACATCTGAGAAGGGCCATCATTTCAAAATACATAAACAAATAAATAAATAATAGGAGCACAAATTCATAAGACAAGGCTGTTCAGGGGCCCGTCCTAATGGTCCCACAATGGGGTTGAATTATAAGCCAAGGGAGGCAAAGGATAGAGGGACAGAGAGAGGGGATGAAAGGAGGTGTGGAGAGTTTAAAGAGGGGGATTTGGGAGGCAGCCAGGTGGACTGCTGGCTCACCCTTGGTCACGGTAAATTCTAGAAACTGCCTCAGTGGTGCAGGGTTAGCGGGCTGAATTACCACCTTGCTGCGTCCCACTCTCTTGGTTTCACTCTCCCTTCATTTCTCTCTCTCTCTCTCTCTTCATGTCTCTGAGAGGCAGAGAAAGGTAGAGACGGAACAAAAAATAAATATAAAAATACAAGCCACATAAGAGATGAAGTGTCTCCATTTGCCCCAAACAAGCCCCCATGTATCCTTGAAGCAGTGTAGCCACTGTCTCCCTATTCATTATCTGTCATTATCTTACAATTGGAGGTGAGCCAAGAGCTTGTGTTTTCTTTGCATGCTGGCCACGGAATCGATGCAGGAGACTACAATGCATAACCCCTTATGCTGTTACTGCTTTAATTAAAACAATAACAGCAGCTCATAGTTTCCACTCATATGGGGTCGTCCGTTGGCAACTTCTCCATCTCTTCCCATCTGGATGTACATTTTTTTTTTCCCCCCCGTTATCCCCCGAGTCTGCGAGGCGAGCCGATTTCCACAGCATGTATGCAAATGAAGTTTGCAGTGTTTACGCGCGTGTGTGTGTGTGTGTGTGTGTGTGTGTACAAACACTTGCTCTAGGTTAATCACAGAGTTTTGCGGTGTACTGAATCTATGAAATAGCTGACTTTGAGGTTCTTCTCCTCCATACCTCCCTCTGCAGACCCACAACTCTCCCCCCCGTTCCCTCTCCCCTCTTCTTACTCTTTCCTGGTCTAAAATTATCACTCTATCTTTCTCGGGGAGCCAGAACTCTGCCAATCAAATCCAGTGCCAAGGAAAAAAAAAATCTCCCTCTATAAATAATACATAATCCTTTACAAATCTCGCTGTCATCTCTCTCATTACCTTCGTTCTGTCGCTTTCTCCTGTCCTCCTTTTTTCTGCGCTCTCCTACGCTCAGCCTTTCTTCACGTTTTTTTTTTTGAGTGTAGCCCCCCTCTCCTCATTTTGACTTAGTCCACAACTCATAATTCTTCCCTCCCGCTGCATTCGTGTCTAATCTCACTCTCTCATCTCCCTGTTTCTCTTTTTTATTTAAACCCGCAGTCTCTCCATTCGTCTCCTCCCCACCTTCTGCCTGATCTAATCCTTGATTCCTCCTCCCTCCGTCGTCCCTTCGCTTTTCTTCCCGTCTTCTTCCTCCTTCTCATCTCCCTTATCTTTTATTGCATCGTTCATCATGCATCTTTCTCATTAGTGCTGTCCTAAAGGTCCCCTTTCCTCTCTTTCTCCCCTGGGCCTCAGGAGAATTGTTGCAACTCTTTCTTTCTCTCTCCCCTGTTAGCTGCTGTCTCTTCACCCCTGTCCCTCCTTCTTTTTTCTTTCTTCTTGTAGTTTTTTCCTGCCCTTGCAATAGTTTCCTTCCGAACTGCAATATGCTTTCATTCCCCTTGCAATCTCTCTCATTCTTTCTCTTTTTGCGACTCAGTGGGAATCTTTTCCTGCCTCTCTGCTGGTTCTATCTCCACACTCTCCTTCGCTAAATGTGATTTGTTCTGCAGCTCAAGTCTGCAGCATAATCATGCTGTTTTTATAGTGTGCTGCGAAGAGCGGAAGAGAGGAAGCAAGTGAAAGACGGGGAGAAAAAAAAAAAAAGTGAGAGAAGTGAATGGACAAGAGGACAAAACAAATGAGTTGAGCAAAAGACTACATTTCTAGGTTCCCCCGTCCTTCTTTCATCTTCTTCTCTACTTTTGCTTCTTTTAATTGCCTGTCATAAAGCTTAGCCCTTTCCCCACTTTCTATTCCTCTTTTTTTGTCTCTCTCTTTCTCTCTCTCTCGTAATCTTGCCTTCTCTCCACTAGAAACTTTAGACATTTTCTCATGGAGCTCTCTCTCTCTCCATCACACACACTGCTGTACTGTTAGCACTGTACTGCTAATCAGCAAATTCAGCATAAAATTGTCTCTTTTCACTCTTGACCTCTCACAAGAAACTTTCACTTTAATTTATTTACATATTTCACATCCTATTTTTAACATTCTGATTTTTTTTTTTCCTCCCATGGCAATGCTGGCTCCATCCTCTGCATTGAAATCTGTTGTCTTCTTTATCTCATCACCTATACCCTTTATGACTTGCACCACCTCTCCTCCTTCCCCTGCATCGTTCTGACCTTCGCATCGTTATGTCTCTCCAGCCCTTCGGCGTATTTCAATCACCTCGTCCCTCTCTTGCCCCATCCCCTCTTCTCCCCTCTCCTGCTGCACTGCATCTGCCTGAGCACTCTCCTCTCCTCTTGTCCACCCATCCCATTACTCTTTCTACTCTCTTAGTCACCTCTTCTTACCCTTCACAAACTACCATCTCTTTCTCCCTTTTCTTTCCCCTCTTTTTCCTCTCGTTTTCTGACAGCCAAAAGCTGGTTAGCTCTATCTACTGTGCAGCGTTTTATGGCCCGGGTCTGTCACAGCCCCAACAACCCTGCGACAATGGCCACCACACACACCCCAACAGCGGCTTAAAGGAAATTTACAGGGCTATTACACGACAGCAACCACACTGGAGATTCACCACAGCCAAAAGCACTGGTCTTAACACCCCTTCAAAATCCACCACATGGCTGCCTTCCCTTTGTGTGTACACGTTGTGCACATGATATGTGTGTCACTGATGGATGTGTATGCGGGAGAAAGGAAATGCACGGATGTGTGCATGATTTAAAACGGTGCGTGCGCTTGCGCGAAACGGTGTGAAACGTGCACAAGCGAGTACGTATATGTATTCGTGCATGCACACACGTGCATTAAAAACTGCTGTACTGGCATGAATTACATAACCGAGCTGACTGCCAAGACACACACTCATTCTTTCACTGTATCACTCACTCCCCCATTGTCACCCCCAACAACATCCCACAAACCTTCTGTTAATTTAATGTGCAAAAACAACAGCAACAACAACAAAAAAAGAAACCACTGGATTTAGATTTTGGCACAGAGGAGACAGCACTGTGCGCAGCTGTGCTATGTTTACCAACCAACAGCGATAAAAAAATACCATCATGTATTAAATGCATAATAATAATGACAGGAGGTATTAATAGCACCGAGCGACTCCGCCACTGATCTCACTGCGCTTCATATACTGCTTTTTCTTACCATCTCTGCCTTGTGTTCAATCAATTTTATGACTCTTGGTTTCAGATCTCGACCTCATGCAGCTCCTTTTGAGGCCTTGTCTCTTGTTTTATCTTTGTACCCATCCCCTCCATCTCTGTCTTTCTTCCCTACACACACAGACTGCACTGTTCTCCATCTCTGTCTCACTATTTCTTCTTTTCTGCCTTTGCTGCTCCCTCCCTTCCTCCCTCACATACAGTATGAGTTTCTATCAGGCCAAATCCTTCTTTCCTTGTGTCAGTCTGTCTCTTAAAAAAAAAAAAAAAAAGATACTGGTGTCTTGCACTTCACTTTCTCCCCTCCATTCCCTTTCTATTTAAAAAAAAAGAAACCTCTCCGTTTGGTTCACTATATCTCTCCTACTCTAGGGTCCAACTTTAATTTATTAGGTTCTTCAGAGAAAAGCTGAGAAAAAGGCTTCAGCCACTCTTATATCTCTCTTTCTTTCTCTGTTTTCATTTGCTACTGTTTTCATTTAAGTCCTTTGCTTTCCACCCGTCCCCTCTCTTTCTCTGTCTGGTCTCTCGTTCCCCCAGTCCTTTCACCCCCTGGGCATACACTCCTGTCATCATATTCTCTCTGTACTTAATCTTAATTACCAATTCTAACTTAATTACCAGCATTTTGAACAATTCATCTGAAGCCCTCATTTCACGATTCCATCATGAGCTATCCCCCATTGGTCATGTGCTGGGCACTGCACTGGATCTCATTCTGTATCACTTTACACCAATTACTATCGTATTCAAAATTCCGTTATCTTTTTTTTTATTAACAAAAACATTACGTTGCAACATTTAGAGGTATATCTGCGGGGAGTTTCATTTACATGAACAAAGAGCTTGTACTTACACTAAATTGCCCCCCATCCTGGATAGAATATAAAATGAGTGTATACATGTGAACATTATGTGCTTGTTTCCCTGAGTTATTTAGTCTGTAATGACACCTGAGTATTCCTCCGCAATCAATACTGCACATCTCATTTCATCTGTACGTGTGTGTGTACGAGCACGCGACGGGAGTGCATGACTTACGAGTGAAGCAGAGCAGGACCAGGACCAGGCTGCGCAGGGCCAGAGAGAAGGGGGCAGGGAGGAGGCGGCAGAGGACAGAGCTTCGGACAGGCCTCATTGTGTATTGAGAAGTCGTGTGTGTGTGTGTATATATGTGCGAATGTGTATGTGGCCGTGTGCGTTTGATCAATGGCTCCTCTGTGACCCTGCCTGCACTGCTATAGACAAACTAGTCCAGACACACACACACACACACGCACACACACGCGTGCACTCTGATTTCTTCTCAACCGCAGTGCTGCAGACACGTGCACACGCTAACTGCTCAGCTTTACATTAGTGCAACCAGACAGAAGTTGTTGTTTGAGGAAAGCGCATAAAGAGAGCACTCTTATGTTCTACGCTGCATGCAAAGAAAGTGCTTTAGCTGCAAAGTCACATAGGACTGACTTGTTGCCAGGGCTTGCGTGCAGTGCACAGACGTTTGGCCAGAGCTCGGAGCGATAACAGAGCGAGCGATTTAGGCGATATATCACAATGCACACAGAGATGAGCTTAGAGCAACAAATTTCCTCTGTTGACTAGCACCTTGTGTTGCTTAGAAAGAACTTACGACGCGTATTGTTTTAAATCCATACAAAGGGAAAAGCTCAAAGCCGTCCAGGGTTTCCGTCCCATCTAAACAAAGCGGCAACAAAGCGAACACAGATAGGCGAGCTATTTTTTTTTTTTCCACCACAGCGCTCTGAGCCTCCTGAGACCAAAGCCTAAGACTCTCAGATCGATAAACCAGAAAAACCAATACCATAGGTGTCCAAGCAGACCTGCAATACTGTAGTCTTTACCAGTAATAGTATTCGGTGGTGGCAACTTCACAATTAACTGAATGAGTGTCAAACTGAGATGCAAGCAAGTTCGAGCAAAAGGAGCCCTAACGATCAGCTTGCACAGTTAACCACAACAACATATGCTTCTTGTCTCCTGTAGGTCAAAAAACACTGCTCCAAGGAACAGAAAACATCAATACAGCCATATTTCAGTCAGATACAGCCTGAGAAAGTGTGCTCCAAAGGAAATCTAGTTTATCCGATCTAGCGTTGACTGAATGCTAACTTTTAAAATAGAGCTATCTACAATGCTGTGCCCTCAAGGACAGAGAAATCTAGGGCAACAATGTTCATTCTCAAACATATTGCGTTTTAATGAGTCAAACAAGGTTTTCAGCTCTTCTCACCCAACAAAACAACGAGTCGGTGCTCCTTTGTGCTATTACCACACTGGCCAGGGCTCTGGAGAGATGGAGACACAATCCAACTGCAACTCATCTGGAGATAGCTGAGGTTAAATAAAATTCATTGAGCTCATGCACTGCTCTATAAAGAGTGCTCGGCCCTGTGTAGAATAACCAACTTGCGAAGGTGTTGAGCAAACTGCAGCTTTAGTTCCAGATATTACGTATTTGGTCTGCTATTTTACCCCAGAGACTTGCACATTATCCTGACGAGGTATCTACCATTATTCGCTTGAATGCTAGAATGCTGTCGATACGCTATCATGTACACACTGTAGCGTAAATGGACAGTGATTTTACATGGTAATTTTAGACACCTCAGAATAATCACAGGCTATCAGACAGTATAATCGCGCAGCATCGACCTGCCTAACTCTTCCTATCCAACATGCTCCACTGGGTGCAGTCAGCGCCTGGGTGCACTCCAGATACACACTCACTCATACACACTAATCTGAAAGCCTGCTGTGTTTAAGGTCCGGACAGAATTCTGCTGATTGTCAGGACCTGATTCGTTGTTGGTCTGCTGGAGTGTGTAGATCCGGTGTGTTTGTGAGCGCCTAATGTGTGTGTTTAGAGCGTATAGACAAAGCGTGACGAACTGCACCACACACCTCACTGAGCACTATTTGATGGAATAAAGTGCGGGTGTCATCCTTAGATTACTACACACTGCCCACTCTCTCTCTCACTCTCTGTGCCACTGCAAACACAATGAGATTTAACGGAGACGGCCCTGACACTTCTGGCAAAGCTGAAAGCGGATCATCGCCGGTCTTTCCTACAGCGCTGACTTCATCGGTCAACTGGCTGATGCTGAGAAAATTACTCTGTGTTGGTGTGCAACCAGCAGCTCGGGTCTGGCGGGTCAGAGGCCGGCAGAAGACGGACGGAAACAAAGTCTAGTCGCTCGTTCGAATTGATCTCCTTAAATTGTGTTTAGTTTATCCATTCCAGCTCCCTCGCTCTGTCCTCTTCCTTCAGCTATCCAGTTCGCAGCGGTTAGTTTCCCCAAGTTTGTCCTCGACTCGCTTCTCTTCCTTCCCGTTGATCTATAAAAACTGTTATAATCCCAATGTGCTACCGCTGTTGATCACATCCATCTGTCTATCTGTTTTCTGTCTTCCACTTGTTTATATAACCTTGGCCTCCCTCCCCTTGCTTAGATTGTGTGTGTGTCAGTGGGGGATCAGTGTCTGCATATTTTGCATACTATTTTGTAACGGTTAGAGATGTGTGTGTGTGTGTGTGTGGATGGAAGCAGCGACAATGGTCGTCTTTCAGGTTGACAAACAGAGGCAGTGTGTGTGTGCGCGTGAATGTGCTTGACTGTCCAGTGTTGACTGAAGCAGAGTGTACATTTGGCTCTTTCACTATCTACTACCCATTAATTTATCCATGCAGGCAGTGACAGAGACATCATAGTGCCTCTTTATGTTAAATGGGTGTTTTTATGGCTGCAGGGATGCACACGGCTGTCTGCTGACGAGAACTGTGTACACGTTTGTGTGTTTTGTAATTCAAAGTGGCTATGGATAAAGCAGAAATAAACATAACTACGACTGTGTTATGAGAAATGCTGATGTGAACCTGGCCCATTAAAAGGTATCGGCTGCACATTTTTACACTGGTGAAACAGAAATCATCACTAACAGGTAGACCGACCTGTCAGTATATTTTGCATCAACATGTTGTGCATAATGCACTTCCTTTGTTCAAGCTCATTTCCACATGTAATATCATCACCGCTATTGGCAATAAAACTGGCAATACAAAGCCAACAGTGGAAACTAGCTACACCAGACACTGCGTCTTTGACTTTCATTGTCCTGTAAACTCTGAAAGGCAACAGTTTTACTTTTATAAATACTCGTTCTTAATCAACTGATCATAAACTATCAAATCTGCGACAGGATGTATTTACAAACATCGTTATGCATTCGATTGGAAACACACTGCTCCCTATTATCAAGCCAAATAAAGTCACATTTATTTATCAAGTGCTTTTAACAAAATAAGGTCATCACAAAGTGCTTTATAGAGCAACAAAGGACATAATTACAGACATAAAGAAGAACACACTGCAAATCCTTGTACAACTGGTAAGTATGTGTGAATTTGTGTGTCTGCAAAGTCCCTGTGTGGGCAACCCCCTGATGGGTGTATTTGTTTTTGTCGCAGTATGTGCGGAAGGAAGGGAAGTAATGGCAAATTGTGTCCCCTATCCCCCTTCCTTTTTTTCTCTCTCTCCCTCTCTCTCTCTCATCCAAATCAAATTTTTAATGGGCTTCATTGGTGCCACCGTGGAATAAGTGTTGCCAAAGCACTTAAGGGGCTTAAGTCAGCAGCGTGCTGAAAATATTAAGCACTCAAACAGCCTTACAAGGATCCCTGCCTGCTTAAGTATGCCGAGGAGGTCGTGCCAGCATTTAATACCAATGGTATTAAAGCACTCCGACAAGGGAAAGGAACAGAAATATAGATATATACAGTATGTACCACAACTGGGAATAGATGAAGAGATGCAGACTGGCTGGAAGAATCCAATGAGGCTGTGAAGGCATGAAGTGGACAGCAGTTGAGGAAAAAAGGGGACTGTCAAAAGGATGGAGGGACAAAAAGGAGAAAAAGATTAGTAGTGAGGTGAAGAAGTGAGCTAAACTAAAGACAAAGGAGAGGGGGAAAGAAGTGGTGAGACGGCTGGAGAGAGGCAGAGGAGAGGAAATAAAAAAATAAACAAGTAGTGTAGGGGAGGAGAGATGCGAGGGAATTGGGCCAAGGTGTGGGAGGTAAGGGTTGATGGGATAGCTGTGAACCAGCAGCAGAGGGCTAATGCAGAGATTCTATCGGGAGGCTTATCCAAGATTAAATTTCTCTTTGTCCTTAAGGCGCTTCTTGGGTAAGCGGAAGTGTCGAATTTATTTCTTATGTCTCCCTTGAGGTTGTTGCGGGCAAGTAGGTTGGGAGCATATATGTGTGTGTGTGTGTGTCTAAGCATGTGGTGGTGGTGATTGCGGCGGCGGCGGCGAGGAGGAAGGGGGAGGCGGACATGTATATGTGTCTGTGTAGGCGTGAATCTTGAGGGTTTATTAGCTGGCAAAGTGTGAAGGAGGGTATGCGTTCCTGAAAAGTACAGATAAATCAAATGAACATTTCCCCACGGGTGTTTCAGCACAAGTGAACATCCAAGTATTAGCAAGGTTACATCGATGTATATGTATATGTGAGCTCATACATTTACAGATATTTATAAATAGATAAAGGGCACATTCTGAAACCAATTCAAAAAGAATTCACACGCTTCTTTCTTTTGAAAAATGTGATTTATGGAGCTGCCACAAATTCCTAGACTACTCCAAAGTCACAAGGAAGTATTATCTGTCTGTTGAGTAATCTCCTGTGGGATTCTCCTCAGTGTTAACAAAACACATGTTTTAGATTCAGCGATACCAACAGGCTCGATTCCTTATGCACCGTGTTTACCCTTTTAAAAAAGGAAAACAGCAGAAATTCCAAATTACAGGCTATTTTCTTTCTGATACAAACGCCTATGTTGACTTAGTTTTGAGCGCGTTTCTATCATGTAATGTTGGAACGCTGATTCAGCCTCTCCCTGCTCCCCTCTCCTCCCTTCTGATTTCTTGTTTGTCTGGCTGACTTGGTGTTAATAGCTAGCCTAGAGCCATGCACTAGCTAATCCAACTGGGTTTGCTCTGAACTCTCTAATTAGAAAAGTCACAGCTCCTCGATCTATGGACACTATCACTGACTGCATTTTCTGGAGGCACAACTCAGGCTACTTCCTCCTCACCTCATGCTCCCGGGTAAAGGGATCAATACGGCCCAATCATTTGGGTAGGTTTTGAATGACACCACTAGTCTTTCTTCACACAATTTAGGATTACAAAGTGTTGATTTTCTTTATTTTTCACCGTTTGTTGACTGTGGAGTCTGGAAAATAAATAAAAGTCAATATCGCTCACAGCACGACAGTCTAATAAGAATACAAAACAGATATTAGGATTTGAATCACTGGCTGTCTGAAATTACATGGTTTGGATGGCAATGTACTCGCAAGGAGTGCGCTATTTAATACACTATTTTGTCTCACCTTTGTGTTCTGTGTATCTACGGTAAACCCTGAGATTAAACTCACTTTTTGGCAGGCTACAGACTTGGCACTGTCTTTCCACTGGTTTTCTAGGGTGGAAGGAAAGACATAAAGGTGGTAGACGTCGTAGACATCCTGTTATTTGTCTCATCCCATTATGCATTTACCATGCATCAACTGTACAACTGTGCAAATTTAGCTGATTCTTTTTTCCAGCCTGGCAAAGACCTGAGCACGCATTTCAGAACACATCGCTCTTAAGTGACACACCGCAAGAACTGAAGACGGAAAACGCGATCGACGGCTGGTGGCGAGTCTAGTCAAAGAAGCCGGTTGAAGCGCTCCCTCTGCTTTAATAGAAACGCCCTGCTTTTGTTTCCTTCAATGTGCTCAATTCCCTTCACTAGATGGAATAGTCATGTAAAAAAAAACAGAATACACAAAACCTTTCTGACATGCATAGGCTTTTATCCAAAAAACAGACACACACACACAAAATGTTACTTTTTTGGGGCCGTACACAAATGTGACCCAGATTTGCAATTTAGATCTCTGCAGCACATAGTAAGGAATCTTCCTCTTCAGTATCAGTGCGGACAAAAGCTAGAAGAAGGGTCAAAAAAAAAGAAGAGTTTCTTACAACTAATTCATGCCAAGAGATGTCTGGAAATTAAATAACTTGGCACAATAAAACATTTTCTTAAAATCCCAGCACAGGATTCGTTTGTAAGCGAGAGAGAAAACAAACTCTCAATCCTGCCGACTGGGGAGCTCACAGACACCAGAGGAATATTTTGGTCAAATCTCACAAATGATTTTTTATTCTGTCATCCCAATTGTTCACGACTCCAGTTTATTCCTAATAATTTAAAATCATTGGTGTTTTAAAAAACAGTCTGTCGTTCATTGTGAAGGATACAGATGCAGATTTGTGCTCCGTCGGTGGCCGTATATTCTGCTCTTCCTGAGGTAATACAATGTCCAAGTCATAAATACAATACATGATTTCATAATAAAATGTTTTATGGTTACGTTTTTATGCTCCATTATACAAGAAAAGACAGTGAAATAGTGTGCCATGTATATGATTGACATGTCGTTAGAGCCTGATAGGACGTTGGTTACGCTAACCCCGTCACATTTTGCTATGATAGTTTTTTTCTTAAGTAATTTACTCTCGGGGCCCCTGGGGACCCTAGTCCTTGTACATTAGGTTAAACATGCTGATAGGATGAGTAATTAACACAGCATCCAGTGTCACCTTTCCTACTGTACATTATATCGAACCACACAGTCCATTGTGCATCTGAACTCTGTGACATAATGTTGTTACAGCACCTTGCTGTTATCAATTTAAGGAAACTTTTACTTTTAACTAACACTGCACTGCAAATACAAAATGTGCACATTAAATGTATCTGCAAAATGTGTGACGTCATCCTGTTTCCTTAATTTTCCCCACCCCTGTTTCTTGCTTTTATTTTTTTGCACAATATCTGTTCCTGCTTGACGAAATGAACTAAAGGATGATTTTGTAGATAACTAAAGCTGGCCAGAGTTTGACACAGACCTGGAACATGCCAGGAAATACACGGTGTCGAAGCACTGCCTGGAAACCAGAGACTGTGGCATTTAAATACTAGTAAGTGTTTGAACAGACCGAAACATCGGTACAGTTGTAAACAGTTGTACAGGCTATGTATGAACAGTGCATCAGACACACACATTTAACCCTATGCAGGACTTTTGGGGTCTTTTGGACCCCCGGCCATTTTGTTTAGGTGACAGGTATTGCTTTTTTTTAAAAGATTTGTTTAAAATATAAAAAGAGGAACATTTGTCATGCATTTGGAACCAAAAATACATCAAAGGAAATGTATTTAACATCGTATAAAAGTCTATAATCAATACCAACAACTATTTTGCACATATTCTTTCTTGTCCTGAATAGGG